GTCCCCTGTGTCTCCTGCATTGCAGGCAGATTCTTTACTTATGGAGTCATTAGAGAACCCCTTCTTTAATGCAGTGGTTCTCACAGGGGACTCCCCAGACCAGAAACTCTGACCTCATCTGGAAACTGGTTAGGAAGGCAAATTCTCAGCCCACCTCCAACCCACTGCAAGGAAGCTCTTGGGAGTTGGGTTTAGCAATGTGTGTCTTAAAATTCACTTTGCTATATAGCAGAAACCAACACAGCGTTGTAAAGCAACTATACCCCAATAAAAAATAATAATAAATAAATTTAAATTTTCAAACCAAATTAAAAATTAAAAAAAAAAAAACTCTTTAGGTAACTTTAATGCAAAACAAAGTTTGAAAACCACTGTCTTAAGGCATGGGTTTCCCCTAACTGTAATTCCCACCTCTGACCCAAAACCAAACCGGGTGACTTAATGTGTGTGAGTCTCTCAGTCGTGTCTGACTCTTTGCAACCCCATGGACTGCAGCCCACCAGGCTCCTCTGTCCATGGGATTCTCCAGGCAAGAATACTGGAGTGGGTTGCCATTCCCTCTTCCAGTTTACCTTAATCCCATGTCGCCTATTCAGCAGAGTTGAACGTAATACTTTGCAAGCAAGACCCCTTTCCATCACTGTCTTTCAGGCGTTTCTCTACTCTTTCTGATTCTGCTTTCCACTCCTCTTTTCATACATAGCTAGAGGTGTTTTATGGCTGTAAAAAACTCACTTCCAAATGTTCTTCCAGTTCTCCAGGACTGCTTTATCTCTTAAGAGAAAATTAATTAAGTACCATAAATTTGAAGAAAATGTTGGCTGACCTCATTATTTGGGTTCTTAAACCACAAGCACTTTTTTTTTTTTAAGATTAAGGAGACAACCACAGCATGGAAGTACAGAACTCTCTGCCATCCAGGGGTCATCTACCCGAGGGGTACACGAGGCTTTCCATGGGCTATGTGCAGGGCTCTGAGAGTGTGTGCTGCCTGGAGGGTCAATTTGAACTGACTTGTCTCAGAGTCAGCTCCTACCAGACCGTGCAGCGATATGAACTGATGCCACTCACCCCTCTACCTGCAGTTGTAGGTCTTACACAAGGAAGTATATCTAAAGCAGTGCATTTTCAAGATCTAAGATGTCCTACAATGGATCTGCCCGAGAAAGTGCCTGTGTTTGGATTATAGCTCTGACTCTCCTTTCTGACTGCTCCCACTTAACTATCTGTCCAGGAGAGAATGTCCTTTACTTCCATTGTCACCTCCGCCACTCTTACCAATCTGTCATCAAGTGGAGCATCATTCTTGAAGGAGAGTCCCCGCAACATAAAGAAGACAAGTCCAGAAGGAAATGGCACAGTTTGTTTGTTTTTTTCATCAGTAATGAATTCATGGCAAAACTGCTACCTTCTTCATCTTGGAATTAGAATCCAGAGACATAGAGATGCTTTCTGACAGAGGGCATGTGATTTGGCACATTAAAATAAACAGCATTTCAATTTTTCCCACCTTTCTCAGCATATTTGGTTAACCAAAGTGCTTCCAAGTAACAAAATAACACATCTTTAATAGCCATTTCATAAAGCCTAGTAAAATACTAGCAATATACTGTCCAGATATTGAGAAATTGAATGAATTTAATATTGGGTTACAAAGACCTTTGCAAGTCAGGTATTTTCCAATTCATTGCTTTAAAAGAAATTGAAGGAGGAATTAATTGAATTGTCAGCTGTGAGATCATTAAAATAATTTTTGAAGCTATTTTACTATGTGGTTTTGGGCATATATTTTGGAAGAGGTACAAAGAACTGAATGACACTGCTATACAAGATTTTCATTTCCATCTTCTTGCTTATGTGAACTTGGTTTCTTTCAAAGCAAAATAGGAATAGAATTGATCCTGAGCTCTCACTCTAGTATAATGATATTTATTGATGATATAATAACCAGAAAAGCCTCCTCCATCCCATTAAAAGCTATATTTCCAGTAAAAGTTTACTTCTTATGTTTAATTATTACTTAACAACATGTACAGAATATTTATATCATTTTATCAATATTAGCCTTATAACAATAACTCATTCTAAAAGAAACTAGTATTATTCGGAACTTTACAGTCACAGAATATGAAAAAAAAATAAATTTCAGTCTCTACATTTTATATATATTGTTGCAAATAAATATGATAGCTGATCAATAAATGATTTTCAAGCATAAAATACTTTATCAGGATAAAATGCTGCAAATAAAATCCTGCAGAGAATATGTATAATAGACACACAAGTTCAAGTTTAAAAAACGAGCAATGCACATTTTATGACTGTTAGAAAAGAACTTGTTCATGAATTTTGAAAGCAAACAATCATGAGTATCAAATCACTATGGTGTTTAAATTTGCATAGAGATATATAGAAACGAACATTATGACATTTTAATTTTAAAATGTGAATATTCTCCATAGACCAAAAATGCATCCTTTGCAACTATTACTTAAACTTTAAACATATTATGTCAGCTTAAAAATGGACAAAGGATTACATAATTGACCAAAATAAAATCAAGTCTGTCGTCTGCACTCTCTCCTGTGTATGTGGTCCCAGGGTCTGGGATACCATACCCTTCACTTTGCCTGGATTTACTGTCTGCTTCCAGGTTGGCCAATTCTTGAAGCTGTACAGTTGGAATTTAACCTTCAGGAATCATTCCAACAGGGGTTTGACCTTCATGAAAATACAGCTGTTATTAAGGGTTGGCACATTAATTCTTATTTGCAACTGAGAATAAATGAAAGAGTTTGTTAGATTTTTTTCCCACCAAGACATGCCTTTGAAAGTAAAGAGCAGAGAGCGCCAATTAGGGATTGAGTCTTCACAAGGGAAATGACAGTTGCTGTAGAACAAAAATGCACAGAAGGGGAAACTAGAGTCCCAAGGATGCCGAGGAGACAATGTGACCTGTTTTTCTTCTTTTTTTTTAATTAATTTATTTTTTATTGACATATAGTTGACTTACAATGTTGTTTTAGTTTTAGGTGTACAGTAAAGTGACAAGGTGTTTTATAAAACACACACACACACACACACACATATATACATATGTATATATTCAGTTCAGTCACTCAGTCATGTCCGACTCTTTGCAACCCCATGAGCTGCAGAACGCCAGGCCTCCCTGTCCAACACCAACTCCTGGAGCTTACCCAAACTCACGTCCATTGAATCAATGATGCCATCCAACCATTTCATCCTCTGTCGCCCCTTCTCCTCCTGCCCTCAATCTTTCCCAGNCTCACTTATATTCTTATATATTCTCACTTATATATTCTCTCGCTTATATTCTTATGTATTCTTCTCATATATAGATTTTTATATATAAAATCTTTTTATAGATTCTCTTTTTAGATTCTCTTCCCTTATAGGTTATTACAAAATACTGAGTGGAGTTCACTGTACTATACAGTAGGCCCTTGTTGTTTACCTGTTTTATATATAGTAGTGTGTATACGTTAATCCCAAACTCCTGATTTATGCCCCCTCTTGGCCTTTGATAATCTTAAATTTGTTTTTATGTGTCTGAGAGTCTGTTTCTGTTTCGTAAATAAGATCATTTGTATCATTTTTTTAAGATTCCACATGTAAGTGATATCACATGGTATTTATCATTCTCTGACTTATTTCATTTAGTATGATAATGTCTAGGCCCATCCATGTTGCTGCAAATGGCAGCACTTCATTTTGTTGCTTAACAGTGGCGATGATGGTGGTGGTGGTGGTTTAGTCACTAAGTCACTAAGTTGTGTCCACTCTTATGACCCCATGGACTATAGCCCACCAGGCTCCTCAGTGCATGAGATTATCCCAGCAAGAATACTGGCGTTCCTCCTCCAGGGGAACTTTCTGACCCAGGGATCGAACCCACATCTCCTGTGTCTCCTGCATTGACAGGTGGATTCTTTACCACTGAGCCACCAGAGAAGCCCAGCTGAGTAGCATTCTATTGTATACATACCGCATCTTTGCGGACACTTACATTGCTTTCATGTCTCGGCTATTGTAAATAGTGCTGCTATGAATGTAGGGGTTCATGTATCTTTTCAAATTATGATTTTCTCCAGATATGTGCCCAGGAGGGGGATTGCAGGATCACATGGTAACTCAGTTCTCCATATAATTTATACTAGTTTACATGCCCACCAATAGTCACAGCCTCCAACTGTTGAGAAGAGTAGGTGAGCGTGTGTGAGGCAGAGATCAGCTTCTTACCTTGGTGACGACCAGCTGAAGTCAACTGTATTGTTCTCAGGGGTAGGCAGGGGCGTGTGAGAAGAAGGAGGAACTCTGCTTGGCCACTTTCTCCTCCCCTCTCCTGAAATCTGAAGAGATAGCCTTACTTCTACCTCCAGACTGTTGGCTCTCTACAGCGAATTTCAAGATCCGTGTTATAAATTGTACTTGCAGGGCTTGGGGCAGCTTCGGGTACAGGCAATGCCAGTGAAGGGGGGTGGTATGGAGGTGAATATGTCCCAGTTTTGACTTAACAGCAAGTGAAGCACTTGCCATATAGATTAGCTGTGATCTGTTTGAAATACCGATGCACTTTCTCTCCCCTCTGGCCCTGGGCCACTTTTCCCACAAGGTGGTAAATGCACTCGAGAAATGTAAACTAATTTTCATATAAGCCTAAGGGGAAAAATAAGATAGAAAGCAAATATACAGCAAAGATATTCACATAATATGTTTCAAAATCAAATAGAAATGATTTTGTAGCATCAGGTCTTCAGGATGATTCAGGCCACTGTTGCCCTCTATTTAAGAAGTTTTATCAATAATTGATCTCTTTTAACACTGGGTTATGTTATTTCATTTACTCCTGAAACAACAACAGCTGCATTTATAATAGAATCTCTTAACACTCTCTGCCTCTTCTCCCTCCCTTCCCCTCTCCCCACTCTTTCCCTTTCCCCTTTCTTGCTCCCTCCCCTCCCCACCCTCACTCACAGGTGTACCATAGATGATCGGGTCACCCGGGTGGCCTGGCTGAACCGCAGCACCATCCTCTATGCCGGGAATGACAAGTGGTCCATAGACCCTCGTGTGATCATCCTGGTGAACACGCCGACCCAGTACAGCATCATGATCCAGAACGTGGACGTGTACGACGAGGGCCCCTACACCTGCTCCGTGCAGACGGACAACCACCCCAAGACCTCCCGCGTCCACCTCATCGTGCAAGGTGAGCTGATTGGACGGGGTGCTGGCGTTCCCATCAGCGATGCAGAGGGCACATGATCTCAGCCTGTGCTTCCACCTCCTGTAGGAAGACACAAAAAGCCATTCCTCTGCAGAATCCAGAGACTGAGTGTGTCCTTCCACTTGTGGGTGTCTTGACTAAGTGCTGAGGGTCTTCACAGAGCTTCTCAGGTTTATCTCTGGTCCTTCTGTTCTCATTAATAGGTTGTTTGGTATTGTTGAGTTGGTTGAGCTTTCTGAGGTTTGGACAAGATATAGAAATATAATATATCGTATGTTAGTTACTTAGCACTTTGGAGTTAGGGCAAGATACTTTAGGAAATTGATTATACTACTCTCTGTGCCTGTTATTTTTTAGAGGCTTAGTTCATGATAAAAGGTTAATAATATTGATGTAAAATCATATGATGTATGGCTGTTCTTGCATAGCTGATAGTTACATGTGATCTGGAAAGGGATTCTCAGTGTTGTTTGGCATTGCTGTTGTGTCTGTGTACACCCTTTTAGCCCCACAGTGGAGCTGAGGTCAAGAGGGATATTAGTCAAAATGTCTCTAGGTCTACTTTGGAAATAAATTTATATAATTAAAAGGGGGCTCCCTAACTTCCTCTCCTGTTCTCCTTAAAAAATCAGAATTAATATAACCCATGCATAGTACTTCAGAGTTTTCCATTTGGATTTTACTTTGTGGGAGAAAAATGGGGTTAAAAATATCAGAATCTCAGATATCAACTATTAAATATTGAGAATTAAAAACTCACATGGAGAGCAACCATAAGCTTTGGGGAAGCATCATAAGGCAGCCCTACAGATGACCTTACGATGAGCTATCCCCTGCCAACACCCCCGTGACTGTGCAAAGCAATTTCTATCAGGTATCTATTTATGGTGCCAAAGAGGTACTGAGCAGACCAGCCCCCAGCCCCCAGTGACACAGCCTTCCTCCACCAAAGGGTGGAGTCTTCTCAGTGTCTCCTACTCCAACGTCTTGGAGCCATGCATGAGCTCAGCTCAGAAGGAAGAACGCATGTAAGTTAGCATCAGTAAGTGCCTTTAATCAGATCCCATCTGCAGTCAGCCTAATGGATTTTTTTCAGGTTGTGATATGTGTGCGGCATTCTTGCTTAGCTAGTATGTATTCCCTCATCTCTGCCTTTCTAAAATATATAATTTTGCTCATTTTGGTTGGCTTCATGGGGAGTTTGAGTACCAGGTAGTCTTTTCATGCTTCAGACATGTATAAAATTTCAAGGGGACCATTCTTTTCTTTTAGCTGGGGATCTTTGCTAGCAGCAGAGAAGGCAATGGCACCCCACTCCAGTACTCTTGCCTGGAAAATCGAATGGATGGAGGAGCCTGGTAGGCTGTAGTCCATGGGGTCGCCAAGAGTCAGACACGACTGAGTGACTTCACTTTCACTTTTCACTTTCATGCACTGGAGAAGGAAATGGCAACCCACTCCAGTGTTCTTGCCTGGAGAATCCCAGGGAAGGGGCAGCCTGGTGGGCTGCTGTCTATGGGGTTGCACAGAATCGGAAACGACTGAAGCAACTTAGCAGCAGCAGCAGCTTTGCTAGTGGGCCATCTGGGCTCTGGCTCCACAGGCCTTGGTAGTGGCCTGAGCTTGGCTGGGGCTCTGTCTGCTGCAGTCCCTGCTCCCGACAGGCCCTGGGGCTGATGGAGCACTTGAAGCTTTGCCTCCATTCAGCCTCCAAGCCCTTCTCTGATCCACGCGCCCCCACACTCCCACATCTGATGCCACACAAGGACACCTATGCTCCCTGCTGTGTCTCTTCTCCATCCGTATCCCACCAGCGGGATGGCTTGGGATGATCATGTCTTGGGAGCTACAAGACAGCCTGCCATCTGGAGATAAAGACAAGTGCCATGTCTGATGCTTCTCCTCTGGTGAGGCCCTCCCCAGGATCAGTCATCTGAAATGAGTGGGGATATCTGCAGAAAACAAGGAAGCGTGAACTCTCACCATCCGCCTGCCACCTGGGCTTGGTTCCAGAGCAGCTGAAATTCTCAGCCTAGGAAGTAACGCCTCCGTGGCACCTCCATGGCCTTGACAGCAAAGTTATCTTCAAATTCAGGAAACTCGGCGCTGAAAGAAAAAAGAACTGTCAGGCACTGTATGGCAACAGTCTCAAACAGAACAAGACTCTCACTTTTCAGGAAAGAAGACAGATTGTGCAAGCATGTCAAAGTCAACACGGGCCGTAAAGGGCGCATGGCTCAGAGCTGCAGGGATAATACTGCATAAGAAGCTTGGAAGTCGTTCCTGGGCTGGATGTGGAAGCCAGTGGGGTCTCCCCATGGGCCCCAGAGCTCTGGGTCAGAAAGAGTCTGGGAAGAAGCAGGGAGCAGAGCAATAGAGTCCTTCATCCCAGAGGGCGCTGCAATTCTCAAGTCTCTACAATCAAGCCAAGCGACTTCTGTAGGCTCTGTGACATTCAACTCAGAGATCAGAAGGGCAGAGGACGAAGGGAAATGCCTCCTCTCAGAAATCTTAGCAGATGGGGCTTCACATTCGTGGAGAGGCTAAATGAAGGTACCTAGGGAGCTGCCTCCTCCTCCGTCTTGGTGGACAATGGCTGACTTGTCTTCCTTTGGGGACCATTGAGTTTCCAGCAGGTGGAAGTAGAGACCCCATGGCTCTATTAGAAGGAAGCCCAGGAGTCTCTCCCTTCCCAGCAGTGGTCGGCTTTCGTCCAAACTATAGATTAATTTTTCAGACTTAGTGTTAGTTCAGGTTAGATAAAGATAATGAAAGTTTCCTAATCCTCTTAAAGAAGATTTATCTGACCGAGTAGAAAGCTTTTGGAATACAATAAGGCATGTATAAAACTGAGGCCTAATCTTGCCTTTAATTTCCAACTGCTGATGGGTATTGATTTTGCAATGAGAAAAACTGAGAAATTTCCGAGCTGCAACTTGTCCATGTATATATGGTGTTTATTTATCTCCTGTCCATTTGAGAGTGTTAGAATCTCATCACGTCTAGCAGACAAGTGCCATGAGCCAAAGGGCAATCCCGTGGGCTCTGGGCTTTGTTGTTCCCTCCCCCTGCAAAGTGGAGTAACTGAGAGATGCTGTATCACTAAACTCGAAGTCTGTCCATCCCAGTTTTATAAGATGGCCTCTCCACATATCTGATGGGATTGATTTCCAAGTCCTTCTCTTTAAGGAAAGAAGCTGCATTCATTAAAAGAGTATCACTGGTCCCTGAGATACATCTTGACCACCTTGAAGGGATAACTTCAAGGCGCCACGTGATGGTGTGTGACAGTGTAACTGAGACTGTGTACCTGGTGTATGATGCTCAGTCTGAGACGGTGTACCCAGGCGTTAAGGGAATTCAGAACACGCGGCTCAGACTAGCCAGGGTGGGAAAACCAATCCGGCAGACCTGTGTGGGATGGTGAGGGATGCTTCTCCTGTGATGAGGAGTTGAGGGGCACAGGGATGAGCAGGAGGTCAGGCTGATCACTCAAGCTGTGAGGACAGCAGGCTGTGGGTCTCCCTGTAGGAGTGGAGACGGTTCCTTCAGGAGACATCATCCAAGGGAAATTGAGAGGGTAAAACCCAAGGCCTTGAAAGAGGAAGAATTAAAAAGATATCACCTCCCTTTTTGAGTCTGGGGAAATGTTAGATGATCTTGCTAGTAAGTGTGGAGTTAGGATCCTCAGCCACTGGGAAAGGAAGGTGTTAGGGTTGTGAGCTTTAGGAATAAAGAGAACACAGATCTTACACAGGAGATAAAGAACTAAGAAATGGGTATAATGTAAGACAAGAAGGGTATGTTTGAGATTCATTATGAATTTACTAGCATGAGAGTAGGTATGTTTTGTGAGATTACCTCTTCCTACTAGAGAACAGTGGGACTTCCCAGATGGCTCAATGATATAGAATCTGCCTGCCAGTGCAGGAGACTTGGGAGATGCAGGTTCAATCCCTTGGTTAGGAAGGTCCCCTGGAGGAGGAAATGGCAACCCACTCCAATATTCTTGCTGGGAAAATCCCAAGGACAGAAGAGCCTGGTGACTGAAGTACATACTATTGCAAAGAGTCAGACACGCCTGAGAGACTGAGTGTGCACAGTAGGTGTGCACACTGAGGCATTCTAGGCTTTCAGCAAATGCTTGTAAAATGGACAAAGGACAGACTGATACAGCAGATGAAATGGCAAAAGAAGGCAGTGATCCTGAAGTCCCTTCAAGCAGATGGGGCAGGCAGGGAATAGTCAGGCTGTCCAGATGACTCAGAGTGGACAGTGATTGAAAAGAGGTCCTTGGAGGGATTAGGGCATCAATGTGACAAGCCAAGAGATGTGTTCTAACAAGGATCAGATGAGTTCTGTGAGCTTACTTAGTACTTTACAGTGCTGGTCACAATCTTTGCCTCATTTGACCCTCACAACAAGCCCTGGGAGACATCAGGGCAGCAACTGTTGCCTCCGTTTTGCAAATTAGATCACTGCAGCTTATGAAGTTTGAGAGACCAGCCAGGGTCCCCTGTGAGTCAGCAGCGGAGCAGGTCTGAACCTCGACCATGTGACTCCACATTCAGTGTCCCTCCAGCACCTGCCACTCCCTCCACTGGCAACCGCATCTAAAGTGATTTCTCTAACCTAGATCCATGGGGATTTACTGGTTCTCCTTTCTTTTTCCCTCTTTTTCCTGCTACTGATGTTTCACTGTATGAACAGAAATTGGGGACAGAGCTCAAAAAAGAAAATGAGCGGGAAGGAGCAGGAGTGGGATGCTAGAGCCATAAAAGATGGAGAGGCTGAACGAGAGACAAAGAAAATGATAATTAATTTACCAGTAGCTCATCCCTCGAGGGATATATGTTCTAAATGTTACCTCTTTACCCTGTGTAAGTACTGAGAATGCTGGCCCCTTAGAGGATCCAGAATCCAGGTGTCCTTCTGACTGTAACGAACTCTTCAGCATTCTGGACTGTGTGGACATCCTCCTG